CATCCCTATATGGGATCCGAACCCGGGGCCTTGGTGTTATCAGCACCGCACTCTCCCGAGTGAGCCACAGGCCGGCCCAAAGCAATAGGAATTTTTCAGCTGCTCCGGGGCCTTGGTGTTATCAGCACCGCACTCTCCCGAGTGAGCCACGGGCCGGCCCAAAGCAATAGGAATTTTTCAGCTGCACTATAATCTTATAGGATGGCCGTGGTATGTGTGGTTCCTCATTGACCAAAACACGGTTATGCAGCACAGGCCTGTATCTGGCTTCCACCCCCAGTGCTGGTGTGTTCCACGGTCATGTCCAGTAGATCCACTTCCATGCTTATCCATCCACAGCGTCCGCCCAGGCTCCTGATTTTTACCTGTGTGGCTGGTGACCTTCTCTGATGCTCTGACTCCCCTTTTCTCCAGTTCTTACCATGTTTGCATTTGGTCTAATTTCTGTGGTAAATATCTTCTTTCTGCAGTGTGTCTAGTGCCCTTGGGTTCCTGACTCCTCCTTGAAAGTTACAATTATGGCATCAGAAAACACACAGTAAGACTTTGTTTCCTGATTGCAGTGTTGAGTGGTTGCATTTTTTGTTTCTGAAATCTTCCATGTGAGAAATAGGTACCTTGTAGATATATGAAGCAGACTGTAGGAATTTTCTGTTATTCACGGCTGAATGCAGTCTCCAGACAATAAACCCAATATGTATTAAATAATCACAATAGTTATGCTTGCAAGAACAACCTATATATATATATTTTGGCCAAATACAAATTTCCCTACATATTTCTTAGAAAAATCATAGTAAAACTGTTTTTATATTTGGTGTATACTTAAAATTTTAACTTTTATGTACTGAGAAAGGATTTGTTAAAATATCCCAGTATAATTATGGATTGTCACATCAATTTTTAATTTTATTTTTTTAAACATTACATTCTGTGGCCATACTGCATCAATGTTTTAGAATTTTTCATGTGAAAATTTTAATTCTTATAATGTTAATTTTCCATTAAAACGACATTCATTCATCAGAAGAAAAGCTAACATTACTTATGTCAATGCCTACCAGCCAAAATCTGTGAGAGGCACCCATAGCTGAACAGAGTTGGGTTTGTTGACTTTTTCAGTGGGATGACCACAAGCATGAGGAACGATGGGACGTCTTAGAAACTGCATTAAGGGGCCGGCCCGGTGGCGCACTGCTACAGTGTGCCGCTTGGGAGCGCGGAGGTGCTCCCGCCGAGGGTTCGGATCCCACATACAGACCGGTTCCCGCTCACTGGCTGAGCGAGGTGCGGGCGCAGCACCGAGGTTTGCGATCCCGTTGCCGGTCCCGGTCCGGTACGGGTGCGACACTGAGGGTTGCGATCCGTTGCCGGACACGAAAAAAGACAAAAAGGAAAAGAAAAAAAAAAGAAACTGCATTAAGACTCACAGGTACTGGACTTCCATTGATTCGGGGTAAGCGTCAAGGATCAGACTTTGCCCTGCGTGGATGTCGTTGAGAGGTGTGGGGTAAAGCGTTAGATCAGAGGCTTTGGCCGCTCAAGCCCTGCACTTTCCACAGAAAGCACTGGTCACTGACCAGCTCCTTGTTGACAGTCATGCTTTCACCAGGTAGGTTTTCCTAACAGTGACTTAGGGTGGACACCTGTTTTTGTATCTCTGAGGCCATAGATAATGCTGTGTGGGTTTGACCTCTGAGGAGGGAGGCTGGAGACAGACCAGCTGAGGTCAGTCGTGTGGGTGCTGTATGGCTACATGGCTGACCTCCAATAAAAACCCTGGGCATGAAGGCTCAGATGAGCTTGTCTGATAGGCGACACTACATGGATTGTCACTCATCATTGCTGGGAGTGTCATTCGTGTGAGTCCACCAGGACAGGACAGCTGGAAGCTTGCCCTGGTTTCTCCTGAATTTCACCCTGTGTGTGCCTTCCCCCGTTGCTGATTGTCATCTGTACCCTCTCACTTGAGGCATGACTATAACAGCTCTTGTGAATCCTGTCCTTCTAGTGAGTCGTCAAGCTTGAGGATGCTCTTGTGAACTTCTGATACAGGAAGTGAATGTCATTGTACGATTGAGAATTTTAATAGTTATTGTCTAGAAGCCAGGAAGAATGGACTTGTGTCCCGACCCGCAGGATATTCAACGAGGACCCTGGAGGGGGGAGTGGGAATTGGATGGGACAAGAGACATGAGAAATGAAGACAAGACAGTATTCTGATCAAGTCTCGTTTACTGAGTCCAGAGAGACAGAACACCCACATGCACAAGTTGCGTAGAGCAGGTTTACTACTTACAGGTTTTCAGCAAGGGACGACAGGAGCTTAGGATCTATTGTGAGCTGACCCCCCCCCAAGGTTCAGGAAGTTGGGTCTGGGGGAGTCTCAACTTACATGTGCCCCACTAACACTGCCAATGAGGGACTCTAAAAGGCAGCCTGTACTGGGGGGATGGAGCACAGTCTGGGCTATTCCAGCCATCTCCCATTCCCAGCACATTCTAGTGAGTTTTGAGAACTACAAGCCAGAAAGGGGGATGGGGGTACTGTCCTGCCCTCTGGCTTTTGCCTTGCTCCATGTTG